CCCCCCCCCCAAGGAGCAGGGGCCGGCTGCCCTGGCGGGGGCCGCTGCACTCCATGGAGCCTGAACACGTGCGCCGCAGTGTTACCGGTGCTGGGAAGGCAGCTTGTGTCTGCAGCCTGCGGGAGGAGAGCCAGGAATGGGGTTCATTTGAAAATCAGCTGCAGGAGCCGGAATAGACTGGAAAAACGGTGACTGACAGCTCTGCCTGGCTCCTTGCTCTACGCTGGCCCCGGGGCAGAAAGCGCCGCGGCGCTGGGGAGCCTGGCCTCGCTGCCATCGGCATCACGAACCAGACTGGAGAAAAACCCTCCCTTACCGTGACAGGGAGAACAAAGGACACCTCTCCCAGATGGATTCACGGGAGAACAAGGAGGAATGTGCCATCTTCATTAAACCAGTTAGACCCTGCCTGCACAATTTAATGTGATAATGCAAGCTCTGCTTTTGGTGGAAATTTCCTTCCGTAGAAATGAGCGTCATGAACTCCGAGCAGCCCGGGCACTGGCTGAACTCCGCTCAGACACGCTGCCCGCCTCCCTGTGGAGGCCCAGCACGTGGTGTGGCTTCTGAGACGCCCCCTCCCGACGCCCGGCCCCGCCTACCTTCATCAGCAGCAGACAGTTCGCCGTGGAGTACAGCGCGCGGCCCAGACGGGACCTCCACAGCTGAATGGATGCTGCGGGAGAAAGTGGCTTGTGAGCGTGTAAATAAACCAGTCTCCGGCAGCCCATCAACCCCAGTGCCGGGCATTCCGGTTAATGCCAGTGGGTGTAGCCCAGCGTTTAGCTGCTGGCTTCCCTGGAGACAGAGAATAGTGCTTTCAGGATGATGCTCCCTAAGAGGACACAGTAGAAGAACAAGAAGGTAGTTCCCCAGTCCAAGATCAAATACTTCAATCACGAGCACTAAGAAAAAATGAACAACTCTGGGTGCTGGTGGCTCACACCTGTCATCCTAGCTACTCAGGAGGCTGAGATCTGTGGATCACAGTTCAAGGCCAGCCCGGGCAGGAAAGTCTGTGAGACTCTTATTTCCAATAAAGTACTCAAAAAAAAGCTGTGACGCTGTGGCTCCAGTGGTAGAGCACTAGTCTTGAGCACAGAGGCTCAGGGACCATGCCCAGGCCTTGAGTACAAGCCCCAGAGACGGGAACACACGTGCATGCGCATGTGTGCACACGTGCGTGTACCCATGCGCGCGCGCACACACACACACACGAACAAGAGCTGGGCGCCGGTGGCTCATGCCTGTAATCCTAGCTACTCAAGAGGCTGAGATCTGAGGATCATGGTTCAAAGCCAGCCTGGGCAGGAAAGTCTGTGAAACTTTTTTTTTATTGGGTCCGGTCATGAGGCCTGAGCTCTAGGCCTGGGCGCTGTCCCTCAGCTCTTCAGCTCAAGACTCTACCACTTGAGCCACAGGGCCACTTCCCGCTTTTTTCTTTTTGCTTATGTGGTGCTGGGGAATGGAACCCAGGGCCTCATGCATGCAAGGCAAGTGCTCTACCACTGAGCCACCTTCCCAGCCCCAGTCTGTGAAACTTTTATCTCCAATAAACCACCAGAAAACCGGAAGTGGCGCTGTAGCTCAAGTGGCAGAGCGCAGGGACAGTGGTCAGGCCCAGAGGTCAAACCCCATGACTGACCAAAAACAAACACATAAACAAAAAACAAACAAGAACATGAACAGCCGCCACACAGCAGCGCTCGTCTGCTCGCAGCTCCAACGGCCTGGAGGCGTCCTACTTGGGGACCTGGGCACCTGTGGAAGCTGCCGGGAGAGGTAGGGCCCACCAGGGCCCCAGTGCATGTCAGCGTTACCTCTTAGGATCTGGGCAAGTGCCAGCTTCCGGAGGTCTTGGTTTTTGTTTTTGGTTGATCGTGGAATTTGAACTCAGGTTCCTGAGTGCTCTAGCACTTTGAGCCACAGCTCCACGTCTGCCTTTTTGGTGGTTTACTGGACTTTCTGCTAGCGCTGCCTTTAAATTGAATCCTCAAATATCAAGGTCACAGGTAGCAGGTAGGCATGAGCCTCCTGAATGATTCTCCAACTTTAAGGAACAATTCCTCACGGCTTAGTGAGGGCAGACACGGACTAGGCGAGACTAGGACCAGGCGTGACAAGGGCTGCAGGCGGGCGGCCACGCCCGTGCACCCGTGCGCACCCGTGCTTTATTTAGCAGTCTACCCCCAGCACACACTCCCAGGGGAACTGCTCCTCCCTGCCCTCTCCTGATGTCCCACCTCAGGGAGTCTAGCCACCAACTCGAAAGCCACACACAAGACACAGCCCTGTGTCCTGAGTGTTGGCAGTCACATGTGTGCACACACACGTGTTCACACACGAACGACCCCCCCACGGGGCCCGCCCTGTGTCCTGAGTGTTGGCAGTCACATGTGTGCACACACACGTGTTCACACACGAACGACTCCCCCACGGGGCCCGCCCTGTGTCCTGCGCCTGGGCAGTCACATGTGTGCACACACACGTGTTCACACACAGAATGACCCCCCACGGTGCCCGCCCTGTGTCCTGAGTGTTGGCAGTCACATGTGTGCGCACACACGTGTTCACACACGAACGACTCCCCCACGGGGCCCGCCATGTGTCCTGAGTGTTGGCAGTCACACGTGTGTGCACACATGTGTTCACACACGAACGACCCCCCACGGTGCCCGCCCTGTGTCCTGAGTGTTGGCAGTCACACGTGTGCGCACACATGTGTTCACACACGAACGACCCCCCACGGTGCCCGCCCTGTGTCCTGCGCCTGGGCAGTCACATGTGTGCACACACACACGTGTTCACACACAGAACGACCCCCCACGGTGCTCGCCCTGCGTTTGGGCAGTCACATGTGTGCACACACACACGTGTTCACACACGAACGACTCCCCACGGTGCCCGCCCTGTGTCCTGCGTCTGGGCAGTTGTATGTGTGCGCACACACGTGTTCACACACAGAACGACCCCCCACGGTGCTCGCCCTGTGTCCTGCGCCTGGGCAGTCACATGTGTGCACACACACATGTTCACACACAGAACGACCCCCCACGGTGCTCGCCCTGTGTCCTGCGCCTGGGCAGTTGTATGTGTGCACACATACGTGTTTACACACAGAACGACCCCCCATGGTGCCCGCCCTGTGTCCTGAGTCTGGGCAGTTGTATGTGTGCACACACACGTGTTTACACACAGAACGACCCCCCATGATGCCCGCCCTGTGTCCTGAGTCTGGGCAGTCGCATGTTGCGCACACGTGTTCACACATAGAACGACCCCCCCCACGGTGCCCGCCCTGTGTCCTGAGTCTGGGCAGTTGTATGTGTGCACACACACGTGTTCACACACAGAACGACCCCCCATGGTGCCCGCCCTGTGTCCTGCGCCTGGACAGTTGTATGTGTGCACACACACGTGTTCACACACAGAACGACCCCCCACGGTGCCCGCCCTGTGTCCTGAGTCTGGGCAGTTGTATGTGTGCACACACACGTGTTTACACACAGAACGACCCCCCACAGTGCCCGCCCTGTGTCCTGCGCCTGGGCAGTTGTATGTGTGCACACACACGTGTTCACACACAGAACGACCCCCCCCACGGTGCCCGCCCTGTGTCCTGAGTCTGGGCAGTTGTATGTGTGCACACACACGTGTTCACACACAGAACGACCCCCCCCACAGTGCCCGCCCTGTGTCTTCCATCTTGGCGGTCACAGGTGGCTTCTCATAGACACACGGAAGCCCAGAGCCAGTGTGGTGGCCTTGCAGGCCCACCATGTCCCCACCCACCCGAGGCCTCACTGACCGTCCCTGCCATGGTCTGCCCACCTGTGCCCCATCCAGACTCTTCAGACTCTCTCCGCCCCCTCCGCAGAGTCTGCTGCCAGAGCAGTGCCTGCCCGCGGCACGGCAGCCTGAGACGGCAGCCTGTCCTGTGCTGGGCGTGTGGCGAGGGGAACGGGAACCATGTGTGGGGAGTCCTGCCCAGGGTGAGGGAGGCGCGGAATTTCCGGTGCTGGACGCCGAGGGCACGCGGGAGAGCGGAGGCGGCACGCGGGCCGTCCCTGCATGTGTGTCCTCGCCCTGGCAGGGCACAGCTGGTGCCACAGGCCTCCACTCTGCATCCATGACTCAGCTCGTAGGTACGAACATTCACGTAGCAGCAGAAAACAGACCAAGCAAACAGCCTCCTCCATGTGCAGATCTGCGAGCGTGGCAGCCCCAGTCCTTTGGGTGACATGATTCAGGGCAGCCCTGCACGCCTGGCCGCCACGGGTGCCCTCACACCCGTGTTTCACTCGCTCCCGTCTGCCAGGGCTGTGGCCTCCCAGGTGAGGCACTCTTCCTGGAGGAAGCCTCTCCAGTGCTCACGGCAGGGCCGGGCCCTGTCCACATGCAGAACCTCCCCAGTGTCCGTGATCACTGGGGTAAGGCGTGTGTTCCCATTCCATGTGAGGGGCAGAATGTGCCCAGTGCACACCTGCAGCACGGCCACAGTGCAAACGCACTGGGTGAAGGAGAAGCGGGGGGGGGGGGAGAAGGGGACATGCACTGTGGAGCCGAGCCTGCTCCACGAAGAGGCCACTCACCTTGTCTGCTCTCTGGGGTGAGGCTGCTCATGCCTCCGTCCTCAGCAAAACCCTGCTCCAAGTTGGCCAAGATCTGCAGTCATCAAACGAGAACCAACCGTAAGAAGCACAGCAGTGTCTGTTTTCACGTCATAATATATGCTAGGCACAGACAACTTCTCTGGGTGAAGTGACCGCGGAGGAGTGTCCACACAGACACACCCCGCTTCTGTGGGGGGGACTGTGAACGGATGGCCTGCTCTGTGGAGGAAAGTGACGTTTGGGTGGGGATGCCGGTGAAGTGCATTTCCAGTCTTGTTGCATGGAAAGCATCCGATGTGAGCACTAACCTCCGTGGAAATACCAGTCTTACTCTGGGCACAGCAAGGGATTGTACTATTTTATTTTGTTGGTCGTGGGGCTTTGAACTCAGCCTGGGCGCTGTCCCTCAGCTCCTCAGCTCAAGGCTAGTGCTCCACCTACCACTTGAGCCACAGAGCCACTTCTGGCTTTTTTCTGCTTATGTGATACGGAGGAATTGAACCCAGGGCCTCATGCACGCATGGCAAGCGCTCTACCACTGAGCCACCTACCTTCCCAGCCCGTTTTGATTTTTTGAAGGGCAGGATAAGGATAAAATGCCCTGAGGGTAAAAACTATTGGCTAGGAAGGCACTCAGCTGGTGAACCATCAGTGGCAAGCCAGGGGTGGCTGTGCAGTGGGAACGCTCCTCCGGACATCACACAAGCGAAGAACTGCGTGACTCTTGACACCTGGGCCCAACACCGTCTAGCCTTCAAACCAAGTTAAGTGATGTTTTACTAGTCCATCTATCCTGTTGTCCCCCCCTCTTATCCCCCCACCCCGCCCCGCCCCAACCAATCCTGGAGCTTGAACTCAGGGCCTGGGCACTGTCCCTGAACTTTTTTTTTT